AGGAAAATAAGCAACAGCGAGATGACAATTCCAGTTCACACCATCAAATTGAAAGCCAGATAGTCACACTGTGTCCAGAGAGCAGCATTGCACCAATAATACACCAATGGAAGTTCGWAGCACTGAAAACCAATGTCCATGGAKAGCATACTCTCTCCTCTCAACACAAGAGTCCAGTTCCTTCACACTGCCACTTGGCGCTCAGCGCCCAGCCTACTCCTACACAGCTACTACAGACTACAAAAAGACAATGCAACTGTTGACATCAGCGGCAGCCCGAAGTACTTGAAGATGTCGCCCATGCAGATCATCGCCAATACAAGGTATGTGCCCTCACATCATCATCATCATCATCATCCTTCACCTATCCCCTGACTACACCCACACCTATCCTCTCTTTGACCCGAAGACCACCCCTGCACTTCACTGTAGTCCAATCCCACCAGCTATGGTGGCTGGGCTATGGTGCTGCCCTCAGCAGCGCCTTCCTCCTCTGCACGACCGCACATGCTGCACCTCCCCTCTCCGCGCTAGCAGCAGCCTACGAGCATGAGCTCCAGCAGCGCTGCCGCCCAGCATGCAAGTGCCTGAATGAGGCTGCCTGGCCAGAGCTATTTCCTTTATGGAAAAGAGCTGGCCAGCTCTCGCAGCCTGGCTGGGCTGGCCTGGGCCTAGAAGCTTCCGAAAGGCCCCAGGATGCTGCCTAGATGTAGCAGCTACTGGGCTGCTGGGCCTCGTTCGGTTGGGCGCCCAACTGTCTCTGTATGAGGCTGCGAATCACGCCCAGGGCCTGCATTCTTTGGAAAGGCCCGGTAGGCCGTGGAAATGTCTTCGGTACTCGGCCTGTGTTTCTTTCAACCAACTGGCGCGTCGTAACTGCCTGGACCCTAAATATGAAATTGACAGTCGAGGGCCTCTCGCAAAAAGCCAGGCCCGCCTTCACTTAGGGCGGGTAAGGCTGCAGATAGGGCCCCGTAGGCCTACCGAGGACACTGATCCTCGCATTCCCTCCTCCTTAACTTCGTGAGTCCTCTGAGAAGTCTCTTATTCTGCAGGCATCTTCCCTTTCCGTTCTCTTTCATAGCCTGCAATCACTTGAGGTGCTGTTCTCATGAGTTCTTCCCGTGTGAACCAGCGATCTTCCTTGGGATCGAGGTGATGTCTGAAGCTCACCCGATACTGCATTCTCGGTTTGGGAGGTCGCCCTCTGCCTGATGGTCGAGGAACAGGCATCACTCGATGCTCGACGATCTGGTCAATGTCCACTTCGCCATCCATGGTTGGGCCCAGCATTGATCTCCGAGAGGGGAATTGGTCTGTGGCAGCAAAAGGTGCCAGCTTTGATGCACGGAAAACAGGATAAGTCCGTAAGTGTGCAGGGATGCGAATCACGTATGAAGGCCCATCCGGTTGATCCCCTACAATATCTAAGATCTCCCAGGGTCCGAAATACTGTGGCATCAGTTTTCTGGATATCCCTGATTCCTGACCTAGTTCAGATGACTTTACCCAGACTCTCTCACCTACCTGAAAGTTAGAGGGTCGTCTATGCTTATTCTCAGATGCAATCATTGCTTCCTGAGATTTCCTAATATGCTCAACGGCCTGCTGCAGCATCTACTCATATTTGAGAGCAAATTCTATGCTGCCAGGTGCTGCAGTGAGTTCCTTTTCTGGTAGCAGGAAATCAAGAGCAGTCCGGGGCTTCCAACCAAGATGCAGTTGGTTGGGAGTCATGCCGGTAGTATTGCACACAGCATTGTTATACAAGCTGGCGACGAGAGGCAACTTCTCGTCCCAGTCATCCTGACTTGGCTTAATGTAATGCCGAAGCAGGTGCTGTGCTATCCGGTTCATCTGTTCTGCCTGGCCATTCGACTCAGGATGATTCCCTGAAGTCATTTGGAGTTTGGTGCCCATTTGTTCAGCAGTTGACTGCCACAGTTCACTTGTGAATCTCACATCCCTATTACTAACGATGGATGTAGGCAAACCAAAATCCCGTACCCAATTATCCATAAACAATTTGATGACGTAGTCAGTTTTGGCTGTTTCTGGCATGGCAATCAGTCTTGCGTACTTAGTAAATCGGTCAACTATAACGAAGATATGCCTCTTTCCAGACTTGCTGGTCACAAGAGTGTCCATGAAATCCATAGACACACTCTGACCTGGTCCTTCAGGAATCGGCAAGGGCTTGATCAACCCAAGCGGAGCCTAAGTCCTTGGTTTGTCTCTTTGGCAAACCTGGCAAGTTTCCACATAGCGTTTTGCATCTACCATCATAGAAGGCCACCAGAATCTTTGTACTAAGTTCGCTGATGTCTTTTTGAAGCCAAAATGACCAGTTGCATCGTGACATTCTCCTAAAAATAAACTACGCAACGACTCGCTACTGGGGACACACAATCTTTTATTCCCTGCCTTCTCAAGGAACAACAAGCCATCTACCATCGTAAATTCGTCCAAAGTTTTTTTGTCCTTTGCTTGGAACCTACGAATGATCTCTGACATAACTGAATCTCCCTGATAGGCTTCCACCAACGATCGAATGAGTTCGTCAGATATACCAAACTCAGTGACTAGCGCGCCCAGATAATATGCCCTTCTTGATAGCGCATCAGCCACCTTGTTGTACGTACCCTTGATAGGATCAAGTTGATAGTCATACATGTCTATCACTTGAATCCATCTCTTGAGTGCGTCTGACAACACAGGCTGTGTCTTTATCCAGCGCAAAGTCTCATGGTCAGACCTCACATAGAAGAATCTTCCTAGGAGGTAGTGTCTCCAATGGACTAGCGCTCTGTATAGGGCGTAGAGCTCTCTCTCATACGTGGACTTAGCTAACTTTTGAGATGGCATCTTTTCGCTCATATATTCGATCGGTCTCAACTTGGGCCCTTCCTGTTGCGCAAGGACCGCGCCTATGCCATATTGGCTGGTGTCTGTGGTCACAACGAACGGCTTGTCAGGATCAGGAAGTTTGAGAACTTCATAGTGTGTTAGAGCATACTTCAATTTCTTGAAGCCTGCCTCACACTCTTCAGTCCACTCCCAAGGGGTGTCAAGTCGAGTTAGATATGTTAATGGGGAAGCTATAGTCCTATAGTTTTTCACAAACGGGCGATAATAACCCGTCATCCCCAAAAACGATCTGACCTCAGTAACTGTCTGAGGTCTGGGCCAGTCACGTATGCTGGCCACCTTCGCATCTTCCGGCCTCAATCCATCTGCTGATATTTCATGACCCAGGTACAAGATCTTGGTGCGACCAAACTCGCATTTATCCAAGTTTACCTTGTACTGATGCTGTCTTAGGAGACCTAGCACTGTTTTCAAGTGCTCGGCGTGCTCCTCTACAGTCCTACTAAAGATAAGAATATCGTCGAGGTACACGACGATAAACTTGTCCAAGTACTCGTGAAATATCCGGTTCATCGCGTGCTGGAACGTACCAGGTGCATTGCATAGGCCAAAGGGCATCACCACAAACTCGTACAGACCATACCTGGTCTGAAATGCGGTTTTGTGTTGGTCCTCAGGTCTAACGACGATTTGATGGTATCCGGATTTCAGATCTATCTTTGTGAAGTACCGACATCCCTGCACTCTATCCAAGAGGTCGTCAATGAGGGGTAGGGGCTCCGCGTTCTTAACGGTGATGGCATTGAAATCCCTATAGTCAATGCACATCCTTAATGGACCTCCCTTTTTTGGGACAAATAACACTGGCGCACCGTAAGGGGAGGTACTAGGCCGTATCCATCCCTTCTCTATGAGCTCCTTGAGCTGGCGGCGAAGCTCATCTAACTCCGCGGGAGACATCCTATAGATTGGTCCTCTAGGTACTTTACTACCTGGGACAATCTCTATCGCATGTACAATCTCCCTTTCCACCACGCCTGTGGGCTCCTCAAAAAGGTCTGAATATTGTGCGACGACTCTTTCTATCTCTGGGGGTGATTTAACGGCCTCCCCTTTTTCAAAGACAAAGACTAGATACATGCCCTCCTCTTGATTCTGCTTATAGTAGTTATAGAAGGATGAGGCACACATACACCCGTAGTTTTCTATTAGACTGCTAGCTTTATACTTCTGCAATCTAACAGTTCTACCATTGGGCAATTTGTGGATCAACACCTTTCTATCCCAGTCAAACTGAGGTTGCGAGACTTCGAGATAGTACATGCCTAGTAGCATATTGAATGGCAGTTCGTCGCTCACCAGGAAGGAGATCTTGAGGATCACTTCCCCTCCTCCATAGGAGAAGGAACAGGCTACGTCCTCGACATAGTCCCTTACAACCATTTGGTGCTTGTTGGCTAGCGTAGAAGCTACAGTTCTGCTAAGCCGCTGCACTTGGTCCCCTAAGCGCAGTCTATCCACACAAGCACGACTGATGAAATTTCGTGTAGAGCCTATGTCTGCGAAGGCGCCAACCTTGCGGCCACCTACATCTACTTCTACCACGAAATGCTCACCCTTTGGACCTCTNGTGTAGAGCCTATGTCTGCGAAGGCGCCAACCTTGCGGCCACCTACATCTACTTCTACCACGAAATGCTCACCCTTTGGACCTCTACTGATCATCGCCCAAGAGTCCTTGGGGTCCTTCCCTGACCACTCAGTCTCTAACTCTTCTAGGGCCTCAGACACATCTCTCGAACAGAGCGTCGGTGGGTCTGAATATGTCTGCGGGGCGATACGTGGGTCACTAGCCTTGGCCAACGCCTGAAGTGGGGAAGGCAACGTTACCACTTCAGCGCGAGTAAGAGCGGCGAACACTCCTACTAGCCCGAGGTGTTTCCCTGTGAGCTGCTCGCAGAAGCACTCCCAGGGTTCGAAGATAAGCCCACCACCGTTGGTGAGGCTACCTTTGTTGTGACCTTCTTGCCGCGGCAAGTCCTGGACGTGTGGCCATAGTTGCCACAGTTCATGCATGTACCCCTAGCAATGCAGTCACGCCACACGTCGTAGTCTAAACCAATCTTCACCCATGCGGGTGTTCCTTGGTCGCCCTGACCTGTGGACCGTACTACCTTCTTCTTCCCGGCCCCCCTAGCCTTTTCCTTGATGGGTGCCACGACTCCGCCATCTGAAGTCTCACTAGCCCCATCGTGCTCTGTAAACTCCCCAAGATCTGGGAAGTCGTCAATCTCCGTCGATTGACCATCGTGGTCAACGAACATTAATTGACCCTTCTTCTTCCAGTCGTTGGGTAGTCTCTTCCTACCATCATTGGATACCTTGTGCGCAGATCCCAGCTTTGCCTCTATGTCCAGAGCTTTCTTACTAAAAGAAGCGAAGGTGTGCTGATCGACATAGGCCTCATCAACCAGCTTGGTCCTTACCTCTGTAGGTAGGCACCTTAGGTAGTCCGTCAGGAGAACCTGCTGGTCAAAACACACACCAGGTACCACGAGTAATCGCTCTACGGTATCCGTGAGCTTTCTAACATCCTTGAACCTGCGGGCACAAAGATTGTTGATAGCATCGGTGGCCTTCTGAGCCCCTTGCGGGTCATGCCACCTGTTGTACACGGACCGTACGAAGCCTTCCAATGTCTGAGCCTGTGCCCAGGCATCGAAGTTTTGATCGTAGCCCTGCTGCTGCACTAAGCCATTCAACTAGCGGGCTGTTGATCCCTCTAAAAAGGAGGCAGCCACTACAACTTCTTGCTCTGGCCTTGTGAGCTTGTGCCTCACATAGGTAGGCATAGTCCTCACCCAGGTGTCCAAGTCCTCCTCCTTCTTATCGCCAGAGAAGGGCTTTGGGCTCATTAAAGCTATCTTGGGCATCCACTGTATAGGCTGCATGGGCCCAGGGCCTTGTTGCAGCGGCTGCATAGCCACTGAAACAGGCTGTTGCACACTAACCTGGGCCTGGCTTGACAGTGGGACTGTAGTGACCACTGTCGTGGATGGTACGGCTGAGACTGAATGAACCGGACCACTAGTTGCTACCAAACCACCTGGAGGGGGTATGCCAAACATAGGAGAGAAAGTTTGCCCTGTGCGTTGCGGCATCGTGGATGGACCCGCACCTACAGGGGGAACTACAGCAAACTGTGGCTGCCTCACCATTGTGCGAGGAGCCCGAAGTTCAGCTAGAATTTGTTTCTGGCCTGCCACCAATTCGGCCAACAATTCCTGTTGGACGTTCTGCGCTTCAGCCACTGAAAGTACATCATTGCGCAGCACACGACCAGCAGGGTCTAAAGTTGCCTCATCTAATGCTTCCAGTCTGCCTAGCTCCTGCATTCTACTCTCTAGTCTAACCTTCCTAAGTATGGCTTTTCTTCTCCTCTCTGCTGCATCGTTCAACTGTCGATGTAGCTCATCCTGAAGTTCTTCTGCTTGGCGGATTTCTAAGTCCTCCGCCGTGAGTTGAGTTTGCTGGCTGACTCGCAAGCTAGCAATCTGGCTAGTGGAAACCTGAGAACCACTCTGACTGACACTTGACGAAGTGGATTGTGTAGAGACTTGCGACATAGCTGAGGTAGCCATGGTTGCACCTGTACTAGCTGAGACACTAGTCTTGGCACTATCCTCAGCTGCCCTCGCTCTCCTTGCCGCTGTTCTCTCTCTAGCCTCTCTCCTCAATCTTCTCTCGTCTCCTGGACCTAACTCCAAGAATGTCAAGGGTCGACTGCGTGCAGTTTCGCGAGTAGTCCTACGGTCGTCCACTAGCAACTCCTCCTCACTAGTGCTTGCATCACTCATGAGCTACAGTGTGTGTGATCTAAACTAGAATCCACACTGAATCCTACCTTAGCCTGACACACAACCGATTATGAATTACAACTAATTTCGGTCGGCTGGAACAGAAACAGTTAGGTGATGTAACAACAACTAATGTCAGGTCCTACATGATATATTAAATCTATTTTTAGATTACCCTGGAACAGATTGCAACACAGCAAAGAACTAATCTATCTGTAGCTGTCTGTCAGTTGTTAGACAAGTCTGTAACAACTAGATAATCAAAATAAAAATAACATCTCCTGTTGGAGATGTATACTGGATGGCAGATTGATAATGGATTGCCACTGTGAACAGTTACCGAAATCCCCCCTCCCCCTGTATCCCTCTTGATTGGTCACTTTGTGTCAACGATCGTGAGCATCTGGTTGAGCAGCGTGTCTGAAAGTGTGCAATCCGGCCCACCCCTGTGCCCCAAGTCATTGCCGAACATGCCACCCACTCCACTCTTATTTACCCTCGTACGGAACGAGCCTTACACCCGGTTGATCTGGCTGATCAGGAGGAACGTTAAGAGCGCCCCCATCTCTTCAGGAATTATTTAACGTCGCAGTCAGGACGACGATCACAGCCAGATTCAATCCGAGTCCCCAACCAGAAATGTTTATAGACGGTCTGGTAAGCGTCTCATAAAAGGCTGGCATGCCCAGGAAGACCTCTATTGCGCAAGCAGCAGAACAAGGACTTGCGGCCCAAGCATGCGTGTACTAGTCCCAGCGGGTTGGCATGGTGACCGTGACCCGAGTGCTTCGTCCAGGGCCCTTCAGAGTCTTCGCCCGTCTCCCACCAGCTTGCTGCCCAGGAAGAATGTCGACTCTCAAGGTTGAGCGCTCGCGACACCTCACATCGAGAGGACCCTCAAGACAGAACTCACTTCCTCACAGTAAGAAGAGATGAAGAAGGTAGATAAGGAAGAGAGCAACGTACCTCATTAATGCTGCCCCCAACCACAGATTTCTCACCGGTAACCTAATGTGCAATTACGATGACCGGTCTTTTGCTTCAGCACAACCAACAGCAGAATGCGGTTCCACCTCAGCTTAATGTGTCACATCAGCGAGTTCTCATCATCCAACATACACCCCGTATGTCACCACATAGCTCCCTGGCGCGCCCACTCTACCCTGGGCTGCCTAACGTTCAACGCCAATGCCTTATCACTGCCCCACACCTCATGCGAAGCACCAATAGCTATTGCGAAGAACCAATGAAGCGCAATATGAACCAGCTCCGATACCAAATTACTAGGAAAATAAGCAACAGCGAGATGACAATTCCAGTTCACACCATCAAATTGAAAGCCAGATAGTCACACTGTGTCCAGAGAGCAGCATTGCACCAATAATACACCAATGGAAGTTCGWAGCACTGAAAACCAATGTCCATGGAKAGCATACTCTCTCCTCTCAACACAAGAGTCCAGTTCCTTCACACTGCCACTTGGCGCTCAGCGCCCAGCCTACTCCTACACAGCTACTACAGACTACAAAAAGACAATGCAACTGTTGACATCAGCGGCAGCCCGAAGTACTTGAAGCTGTCGCCCATGCAGATCATCGCCAATACAAGGTATGTGCCCTCACATCATCATCATCATCATCATCATCCTTCACCTATCCCCTGACTACACCCACACCTGTCCTCTCTTTGACCCGAAGACCACCCCTGCACTTCACTGTAGTCCAAGCCCACCAGCTATGGTGGCTGGGCTATGGCGCTGCCCTCAGCAGCGCCCTCCTCCTCTGCACGACCGCACGTGCTGCACCTCGCCTCCCAGTGCTAGCAGCAGCCCACGAGCATCTGCTCTAGCAGCGCTGCCGCCAGCATGCGAGTGCCTGAATGAGGCCGCCTGGCCAGAGCTCTTTCCTTTATGGAAAAGAGCTGGCCAGCTCTCGCAGCCTGGCTGGGCTGGCCTGGGCCCAGAAGCTTCCGGAAAGCCCCAGGATGCTGCCTAGATGCAGCAGATACTGGGCTGCTGGGCCTCGTTCGGTTGGACGCCCAACTGTCTCTGTATGAGGCTGCGAATCACGCCCAGGGCCTGCATTCTTTGGAAAGGCCCGGTAGGCCGTGGAAATGTCTTCGGTACTCGGCCTGTGTTTCTTTCAACCAACTGGCGCGTCACAACTGCCTGGACCCCAAATATGAAATTGACAGTCGAGGGCCTCTTGCAAAAAGCCAGGCCTACCTTCACTTAGGGCGGGTAAGGCTTCAGATAGGGCCCCGTAGGCCTACCGAGGACACTGATCCTCGCAGGTGCATGTTACAGGGCGTTGGGAAATGCCAAGAACATGGCCATGGCCGGGTATGAGTACCAGCAGGGCATTGACGGCCAAGAGTCGAGGAAGAACAACAGCTGTGGAGCGGCGGTGACTTCTTCTTTCCAAAGAAACAGTCAATGCCGCTGTCTCAGGGGTCCCTCGGGCATAACGGAGTAAAGCATTGAATGAGTAAATTATGCAAGGGACACTGGACCAGGCATCCAGCAAGTAATGAGAGGAAACGGTTTCTTTTTTGTGAAAAAGAAAGAAAGAAAGAAAGAAAGTTTGCCTCCCTTTGGGCACTGTGCTCTTTTGATGTCTATAAAAGACCAAAGGGAGAGACGAGGAGAGACACGAGGGGAGAGACGAGGAGAGACACGAGGGGAGAGACAAGGAGGTTGGGAGAAAATGGGGCCACTACTCACCCAGAACAAACTGCTCTTGGACTCCAGGAAAGCTGATGGATACTCTCACAGGCTTGCAGAGAGTATCAAGCTGAATGGGAGTGGCAGGCAAGTCTGGCATGTATTTTGCAGCAACGGGTGTGATTATCATTGGGTTGAGCTTAGCAGCCAGCGCCTCTGAGACGATCATCATAGCATAGAAACAAACTTGTTAAGTCAAAACATCCGAAGTTCGAACTCTCCATGTTTCCCTTCATACAGTTTGTTCAACTTCTCCCCCCTCTTTCTGAAGCAGCAAGTGTTTGTAGAAGTCCACATTGAACTTGCAGTTCGTCCGAACAGACTTTCGGTCTGTTCGGACGAAGGCCACATTTTTGGCCTTGTACGTTCACAGGAAGGCCCACGACTTATTCAATGCCATTGAAGATACTCGCAGTGAAGAACTTGCTGCGAATACTCAAGCTTCTTTCATTTTCACATTCAATGAACAAGCAAGGAAGCCAAGAAATGGCAGCAACAATTATTTGTTGCGGAGTGCGTAGCCAACTTTCAGTCTCGACAGGTGACAGTTAGGTTGCCCATTTGGTTCGCTGTGCTGAGTACTTGCTGATAACATAGGCAACTGATTGTTTGGACGTCCCATTGAATGCAGAGAGTTTGCTGCATACACCATACAACATATGTACATATGTTGTATCATCTCTGCGCAGGGGCCATGCTGATCTTCTCTGTATCATTCCAATTTTAACGGATGTCCCGAAGGACAGCATACACCATACAACATATGTACAGAACACTCAATCCGAAGCTCCAAAATGACAGGCTTTGGAGTCAACACAGTACTCAGAAAACTGCATAATTTAATAGAGAGAACCAGGCAATTGAATGTTTTATGAACTTTTATCATGTTTATTTATTTCGATGTTTATTGATGTGCAATCCCATATGACACAAAATTACAAGGCGTCTCCTGGACCCTGGTTACCCGCTTGTTACTCGGTTTCCAGCTCAAGCCAAATCTGGTTGGGCCCCAGTGCAATGAATTGGAGTGTTATGCGGGCTGTACACTACTTCGATCTGTTTTGGCTGGTTTTGAGCTCTCCGGTACTTGATTCCGTGACCTGTACCATGGTTGTGTGTTTCTTTGTATGTGTGAGCCTAACTGGGCTCGATCCCTAGGTCTGAGTGTGAGAGTCTGTGTACGGTAGTCATACAACCACTGGGCCTCTCTGCTTTGTCCTTTTCTGCCCTTGAGTTGTAGGTCGTTTCTGTCCTTCCCTTTTGTCAATTTTAGGTCAAGATTCGGTCCTGGGCTATAGGCTGTCGTTCTCTCTCTCTCTCTCTCTCTCTCTCTCTCTCTCTCTCTCTCTCTCTCTCTCTCTCTCTCTCTCT